AGCAAGAGGGCTGACCATGGTATGGGTTGCACCTCGTCCTCCCACATTCAGCCCCAGTGAAGCCACTGGGACTCACCCTGCTGATCCTGGTAAGCTCACGGCTTGCAGCAGCAGAGCAGCACAGCTCAGCTGGGCATGGGGTCACCCAAGCCTGGATCCCATTGCGGGTTACTCCTCCTGCAGGATTTGGGACCATTTTATTCTTCCGGTGTTTAGTCACTACCTTGTACCTATGTAATACTTTGCAAGCAGATCTAGAGGCTCACCCATTTATTGTTAATAATCAGAGTCACCATATAAAAATACAAATGCAGCTAGAGGGAAGAGGCAGCTCTGCTGCTGAACTAAGGGCCCTGCCAGCATCAGGACTGATCTCCCCAGGCATCCAGGCTGCAGCTTTTGCAGCTCTGGAGAGCGTGCAGCACAGATATGAGCCAGCGCTGCACAAAATGTCACTTTTCTGATGTGCTTTCCAAATTATTCATTTCAGCCTCTATGACAAACCTTCCAAAGAGCATCATGTGTTGAGTTTAACGATGACTACTGAATCCGTCCTTGAAACTAGGTTTCAGAGAGGTACATTTAGGGCTTGCACTGTATTGGTTGCAACCCTTGGTCTGGATGGTTTTAGCTGGGATGTGGCAGTGCTGAGGGCAGAGTGGTTGATCTCATTAACAGAAGGAGGCTTTTCTTAGGATCATTAGCAGAAAAGCTGTGCTGGCTGCTCAGAACTCTGCTGGCATCTACTGGACATGCAAACCAACACCAGTGCTGAAAGAGAAGCAGGGATGGGGGATCTCATTCACGCGAGCTATTCCGGTTCTGGTGATTATTGTCAGCTAATACAGCCCATCAGGCTGTCACTTATAAACAGCTAATGTTCATACTTTGTAAGTTACGCACAAAGCATTTGCTTTGAACCCAGACTTCATCTAGAGATTAGGAAGGGAGCAGAAAATAATGACTTGAATGAATCCGATGATTAAATCAATGGCAAAACTACCACTGACACCAGTTGGAAAAGTAATTTTTAAAGTGCTTTACATTCATCAAGACTTAATGTTTCCTTTCTAAGATATATCAGTGCCATGTGTATCACTGCCAAATAGTATGGCATTCTTAAACTGAGGGTAAATACACTGGAAAGTAGACAAGGGACTGAAGAGCCCAAGGACTAATGTTTAGATTTGGCTTTGACTAACGCCACTGGTATTTAGGGCTGAACTGGTCTTCAAATCATGTGAAGTGCTCTCTCTCTTATGCCAAATATCCTGCACTGAATCACTCATGTGATTTTTGAATTGGGGTGCTAAAAAGTATCCCAACGTCCTTCACAGAGCCCTTGTGCAAATGAGATTGCGGTTTGCCTTGCATCCAGGCTCGTCTCAAGGGAGGAAGAAGGAAAGAAGTATTGCAGAGCCACGGCTGGAGGGTGGGAGCCTCAACGCTAGTTTTGCAGTGTCTAAGCCCTCAGCATCTTGCTGCCTTCTGAGTGCCTCTTCAGCCCAAAGAAAGGGGATCTCTAAGTGGAGTGACACCAGCATGGGCATGTAGGAGGTGTGGAGCTGATGACCCCAGAGAGGCTTGGCCAGGAGCCACCTCCTGCAATGTTTTCTTACTCGGGAACAAGCAGCTGCGACCATGGGCAGAGCTTTCAGAGCTAGGGTAAAACAGCGAGGTAACCCTCAGGTCTCCTTCTCCTGGGTGAACCCATGGAGCTATTGTCGCGTACAAGGACAGACTGGCATGCTGGCTTGTGTGTTAGCATGGCCAAGACCTTTTCGCCCACTCTGCGCTGCTGGCGAGAGGCAGCAACCTTCAGCACAGCTGGGACACAGAGGCATTTCAAGTACTGTTTCAGCAGGCAGCCTGCACCCTTTGGCATGTTTTGTGTGCATCTTGTGTGCGTTTCTGTGCGTGTCTCTCTGCTGTTTGTGGTTTATTTAAGACGCTTCACCCTTTGGTTGTATTTTTTTCAAGCGCACTGAAAAATGTGGCTGTAGACCCTCCTGTACCTGACTTGCTCAACAGTGCTGTGATTATGAGTGCAGTACAGGTACAGCTTTAAAACACAGGCTGGCTCTCTCCTGGAGCTGCAGCAGGTCCACTTCAAAAAGGATCTAGTCAAGAATCTCCCCTTGCTACAGCCCAAGTTAGCGTTTAACAGAAAAGTGCTAACTTGTGACGGCTCAAAGACCACAGCCAGTTGCCCTCATTCAGCTCTGCACATACAAGTCCAACGTACGGGCATTGGCCAGTGCTTGTTAAAAATAAGTTGAAATCACAGTCCTGCCCTTGCCAGTAGCAACTGCCACAAGGATGCCTACCTGGCCTATGGTATGCTGGTCAGGGCATTAAACCAGTAGAAAATTAAACTGGTTAGCGAGTCAGCTGGGGTGGTGGGGACAGAAGAAACTGGGAAGGTGGCCAGAGTTGAGCACTGAGGGGAGCACAACCACCCTTTTCAGGGGCTTTTAGCAATGCAGCCATGGCACTGAACAGCACGCCATGAGTCAGGCACAGCAGTGCTGGACCTTCATCTTCCTTGTTCTCTTAACCCAAGAACTATCCCTTAGTTCATCTACTCTGTTCCAACTGGCAGAGAAAGCTCTTCTTGCATGCAAAAGTGGAAAAAAACCCACCTGTAAATCTGTGTGGTGCTACAGACAGGAAGGCTGTAAATGATCACTTCTGGTCAAAGTGCAGGTTCTGCTTCAGAGCTGCAGAGCAGCCAAGCTAAAGCGACATCCTTTCTCCTACCACATGGACTTCTTACCACAATAAAGGATAGGTGCCAAACATGCTAGCTGTACCATGGCCAGAGGATCGGAGTTTGGGTGCTGCTCTGCAGGCGATACATGAACTACAAGTGGCCTGCTGTCTATACTACACACGCATAAGGCTGATGAGTATTGTCCTCTCCGCATTACAGAGCACAGGAACTTACTCTGAGGACCGTGGCTACAACTCATGGAGAAACGTCCCTTCTGGGAAGGCAGGGTTTTCTTTGCTATTTATCTCCTGAATTGCAGTTGAATTTTTCTATAGATAATATAAGAGTCAATGACTATTGGGACTCAGAAAGCTCTGGAAGCTGTTTCAAACACCCGAGCACTCTGTACGGCAAATTAGCCCGCACCAATCTCCTTGTTAACACCTGCCAGCTACCTAGGTAAGAGTTAAATCTAATCTCATAATTTACAATCACCTCTTTCACTTTACGCTAGCCATACCTTGCTGCGGAAGAGCAGGTATGCAAGAAATTCCTGTCCTACCCTTCTAACAAGTCGCTAGTGTTGACTTGCTGTCAAACAGCTTCTGTGAAAAGCTGTGGGTTTGCTGTACAGCTTCTCTCTGAAACAGTACGAATACACTGCTCAACTTGCAAAATCCAGGATCTGCAGGGCAAAGTATCACTGCTGAGAAGCAGTCAAGGGTCAAATCTTTTCCTCATGGACTTCAGGAGCATCACAGAAGGAAATTACATTAATGCTCACGGCATGAAAAACAGCTGCATTAAAATTTCACAAACAATTAGGTCTGTCCCTACTATCATTCATCTGGCAATTTTTTACAGAAGTTCCCTTGTCAAGGCTGGGCTGAAAATGATGCCAGGCTGAGACACTTAAATCTCCTGCATAAAAGACAATTTATTTCTTGTCTCACTTACAAAATAATGAGAGTATGTTCACTTGGGTCACAAACAGTTGAAAAAGCCAGTAAAACAGTAACATTGTATGTTTAAAGCCTCTACAAGGAAAAACACTGCCGGTCTTTCACATTTAACTCTGGCAAAGATAAAGGAAGGCCCAATCTTAGTTTCTGATTCAAAATAGTAATTTAAGGCTTTAGGCCTTTGGACAAAAAAATTATACTGATAAATTCATATGAATTTATGCCATGCAATCGCACTTCCATAATGTTATTTTCCTTTTTTTCAATGGCAAACAGAGCTGGTTTTTCAATATTATACTCCAGATGGGTTGCTGCCATCAATACAATAATATCTGTTCCCTGCATATACACATTTTCATATGCTTAAGATCACACGAAGAGCGCATGGTATTGCTTTACCTCTCCTTTCAGATACTCACCTCTCTGGCATGGCTCCTCTAAACATGGTTAAACTCTTAAGAGATGTGAGACACTTCAGATGAGCTCAAAAAGAAAACGCACACCTTGTGCACAAACTCAGTGATACCATAGTCTACACCCACACCCTTTTCCTCAGTCTGTCTGAAGAACTCTCATTTCTCATATTCATAGTATTTTAAGCTGACTGTACCTGCAAAAAAAAAAAGAAAAGGCTGCTGAAATTCTGACAACTGAGGTTTCATCTTCCTTTCCTTCCCTCCCAGTATCATACATCTTCCCTGTCACAACAATTACTGTTTTGTTATGCTTGGGAGCTTGAAAAAAAAAAATCATCTTAATAAATCACTTTTTTAGCCTGTCCTACAGTCTATGACTTTCTGACTATCAGCACTTCCTCATGTAATGGGTTAAAGCAGCATTTTCCTGCCATAATGCGGTTTTCACAGTGTGGTGTTTTCAGAGTGTCTTCCAGCTGCCAGTGCTCAGCTTTCAATTGCTTTTTTGGCACTTAACAAACAGCTCACACAGTCAGTAGGTTTGGGCTGTATTTGTGTGTCTGTCTCTTAGCTTCACTGTGGCACTTTCTGCAGGGCTGGAGCAAATGCTGTTTCATTCTTGCAGTCAGATTCTTGTGCTGGCTGGGTTTGGCGGCTATCACCAGTGCGTTGAGCCTGCTGAAAAGGAACGGGCACTCCCTTTCCCCATGGATCTCTCGCTGCTCGCAGACAGGGTCGCCAAACCAGAGCTCGCACGATGGAGAAGAAGCCACACTGTGGCTCACGCAGTCCCGTCTCTCTGATGTCCTGGTAGTCTGGCTGCAAAGGGCTCCAAGGGCCAGGGCTCCCTGCATTTTCTCAGGGAGACAGCCTCAGGGCTCAAGCCCTCCATCCCGGACCCTGATCCCTTCAGAGGCTGGTGTCGACGGTGTCCACTTTGGCCTGCAAGGTGGCCTCGGAGATGGTGTCCGGCTGCCCGTCCCGACAGAAGAGGACGGCAGGGTTCTTGCAGGCCCACATGGCCACCTCTCCCCCGCTCACCGGGCTGGAGGAGGACGGGGCACTGCCCACGGGGCCGCTGTGCCGGTTGACATAGCGCTCCCGGACGCGGTCAGCCCGGCTCCAGGGCTCTGGCCGGCGGCCTGGGGCCGAGAGGTAGGCTGCCACGTTGTTCCTAGTCCTGTAGCCGCCCTCACGGCTGCGCCGCAGCAGCACGGAGATGTTGGGGTTGCGGGCGGCGTAGATGAGGGGGTTGATGGCACCATTGGCCCAGGCCATCCCACTGGCCACGGCGTCCATGGTGGGTGAGAAGGGCAGGCGGCCGGCAGCAGCGGCCAGCCCCAGGATGCAGTAGGGCCCCCAGCAGCAGATGATGGAGACGATCATGATGAGGACGGTGGTGGCCGTGCGCATCTCCCCGTAGGCCCGCAGCAGGTGCCCGTAGGTGGTGAGGGGCCGGACGCGGCTCTCAGCCAGCCGCACCGCCCGGCAGATGTTGTAGTGGCAGAAGCACATGAGGGCGAAGGGCAGGAGGTAGCAGAGCACGATGAGGGCTGCGCCGTAGGGCGGCCCCAGCCGGGAGGAGCCCCAGGGCAGCACGTAGACGCAACGGTAGGCCCCGGGCCGGGCCTCTCGCCGCCCCTCGCCGGCCAGCCCGTACCAGGGCCCGGCCAGGGCCAGGGCGGCCAGCCAGACGGCGGCCAGGAGCCGGGCAGCGCGGCGGGGGGCCCCCCTG